ACCTTTAAAGGGAATCTAATAAAGGCAGATCAATTCCAGGTTGTAACAAAGTTTTACAAAAACTAGTTTTTACAAAAACCATTCGTCACTAGACAAAATTCACCGGGATACCCTTGTATCTATTATTTTTTATTTTGGAAGACATTCAATACAATTGTATTTACTTACTTATCACCAGAAGATTAATTCGGAAATAAAGTTATTTTACTAATAAATTTGATATTTATTTCATTTAAATTGTTAGTACTGATCCTATTCGATTAAAATCGACTCAAGCTTTAAACAAAGTGACATATTAATAAATCATTAAGCATTGCACTTCAAAATATAAAGAGGAAGGCTTGAAATAAAAGGAATGTATTTAAAAAATAAAAGGAAACACTAATAATCAAATATATTTTTCTTTAAATCAAATAGGCAGCATTTTTATTCTAAATCTGATATACCACTAACAATGACAGTGATCATGTATGTTTTATACTTTACGTGTATATGCATAAAATCAACAGATGTCTTATTAATTCAATTATGACCACTAATGAGGCCAAAATATTTTTTTTTTATTTTACAACGTTTTTTTCTCTCAGTGTACGATAAAGAGGACAAAACATATATTCAACATATATTTGGCGGATCATTGTAGTATAGATGTTAATAACTAAGTTCAATTCAGCATATGTCTTATGTCTCAAACTGTACAAAAAACTCAAACATACAAAAGCGTAAAAATTAACAAATGTAAGGACAATATCAACAGAGATACTGATTCAGTTCCTTGAAAAAAGAAACTGATAACCATGCGACTGAGTGAAACATTATAGCACGATTTAGTAGTAAAAGAATAAAACGATCAATACTATATTTTGATGAAAAAATAATCAAAATGTCCTCGAAACAATATTCTATAAAGTCACTAGCGTGTACCAGCGATTTCGTTCGCGTCGAATTAATCATTTGTAATGGTGATGATAAAGCAAAGCAAGAAGTTCCATTAACATACAAACTGGGTAAAATTTTCTCACATTTATGTCAGCATGAGAAAAAACAATATGGCGATATTATTATATAACTTGGTAATATTTGAGGGGTAGTTTCATCCCGTTAGAATTTGACTTTCGAAAAATCCGTTTGCCAAAAATAAGCTTTTTACGTCAAGCAGTTTTTTAATAACAAATATTGTAATATTTGAGGGGCGTTTTCACCCTCTTGGAATTTGAGATTCGAGAAACCTCTCCTTATCGAACCTCTACACCCCACAGTCAATCTGTTTACTAAAAATCAGCTTTAAACGTCAAGCAGTTTAAGCAGAATCGTGATTACTCAATGCACATATTTGAAACACCCTGTATAAATTTATAAAAAATCTTAAAATATGTAAAAGAACAAAATAAAATATACGTGTTTAAGACTTTTTCCGAAAAACTCACCGGTTTTTAAATAAAAAATATTTTAATATTTGAGGGATAGTTTCGCCCCCTTAGAATTCGAGTTTCGAATAATCCTTCTTATCGAATCTCTACACCCTAAAGTCAATCTGTTTTCCAAAAATCAGCCTTTTACGTCAAGCGCTTTAAGCAGGATCGTGGTTAAACAATGACCAGATTTTTCGAAACACCCTGTAAACATTTTTAAAAAATCTTAAAATATGTAAAAAAAACAAAATAAAATATACGTGTTTAAGCGTTTTTTCGGAAACTTGGACGTTTTTTAAATAAAAAATATTGTAATATTTGAGGGGTGGTTTCACCCTCTTGGGACTGGAATTTCGAAAAATCCCTTCTTATCGAACCTCTTCACCCTAGAATCAACCTGTATGCCAAAATTGAGCTTCTTACGTTGAGCGGTTTGAGCAGGATCGTGATTAATCAGTATGTCAGTCACTTAAGGATTTTATATATTAGTATAGATAATACCGTATGATCGAGAAAAAACGGCGTCAAAGGCGGCTTAGGAATGACTATCGATGCTATTTTTGCCGATATAGAACTCTAGACGTCAGTAACTGAGAATTGACATAAAATTTGTCAAAAATTAATACCTTATATAGAAAAACCAGAAAAGAATAGAAAGTTTCCAGATACACATATCTATTTCCAAAAAATTGTTTTTTCAAATGTTTCGATCTGCACCAGTTCTACTCAATAAAAAATCGATATTAAATCATCCTTAATGCAGTAAACGCCTTTTTCAAAATAAAGAAGAGTAAGGCCAGTAAGACTCTAACCTAACTAAATCTCGTCGTCCGACAAGCCTCCGACCCCTCCGACCGAAACATTTCGACAACATTTTTGATTATTGTGCTGTTAAAATATACGGATTAGCCTTTTATTATTGTTTCATACACACTAGACCGTTCAAATTTACTAATATTGCATTGATTGTAGCTGTAAATAAAAATGTGTGTTTAATACCAGTAAATAATCCGTTAGTTGATGAAAGAAGTATCGTATTTATCGACAAAATTAATTGTAGGCTTTTAAATTTTGCTTAATATGGTCATATTTTACAATATTCAACTCATAATTGTTGATACTTCTGGTGGATGATGTTCAATTTATACATATATAAATTATAAACAAACCAAATTGAAGAAAAATGAATAAGGTGAGATAGTAATTTTTACGAAATCCCTGTATTATTACTTCTTTACTTATAGAGTATCTGTTCCTGTGTATGCCCAAGTTTCTGTTTTCCAAGAAGCATATTAATTAAATGAACAAAACTGTGTCCAAGAAATAATCTATTGCATAGAGGATTTAATGAAAACAAAATTGGTGATGCTGTAATTACAAAGTTCCATGCAGGGATCAATGGTTATTGCTAAAATATGTTATTGGTGTATTGTCAATTTTATTTACTTATATATTACGTTATTTAATCTCAATAATTTTAGGCTGGTAAGTCATTTATTTACATACCTAGCTTTTAACGTAACTACTGGTAGATTGTAGGAAATAATATACACTTTGGAACGATTGAAGTAAATAAATGAATTAATATAATACATACATCAAGAAGTAATGTATAATTTTGGAAAACCCTGTATTAATCACTTTCGAAAATCATAATTGTTTTTTTTAGTAAGTCGCAGAACTTAGACAAATAATTTAGGTTTGTTATTAAATTAAATGTAATAAGTACAGATTTAGACTCTTAAACCAGGCATAATATATTGATTAGTAGGGTCCACAGTAAAAAATATTTTGTAATACCATTCGAAAGAAAATACAGACCTATATTATACTGTTTATAAAGTGAGTTTCATTGTAACATAACTTAAGAAAACAATTAATATGCATATGTCAATCATAAGAATAGAATCTATTAATTTAATGAACTATACCCATAGTACTCGGCAAACAGTAAACCAAACCAAAGAAACTAAGACTTACAGTGTTAGATCATGTAGTATATAAGTATTTTAATTTTATCATTTAATAAATAAATACAATATAAAATTTAAAATGCCAATTTTTTTTATTTTAAAACAAGTGATTTATATATGTATAGACAATTTAAAATTCTTTATCATTTAATTTATTGCCCACATCTTCCGGGATTATAAGGGTAATATTTTGCTGCTTATAGTGCTTATATCTCAAAAAAAATTAATTAGATTAATTAATGATTAAGTATCCCTGTATTTTTTAATGTTGAATCTTATGGACTGAAAAAACTTCTCATGATATTTCTACTTTCACTGACTGAAGATGCAGAAACCTAGAAGAAATTCAAAAACAAATTGTACAAACATAACGTATGACTATACATTTCGGTAAGTCAATATCGACAAAGCTTTGATTACAGCATCACCTATTTGATTTTCTTTAAATCCTCTATACAATAGACTATTTCTTTGACATAGTTTTGTTCATTTAATTTGTTTCTTAGAGGTTATACACAGGGGTAGATATTCTATAAGTAAAAAGTAATGTATAAGTAATAATACAGATTCTTAAAAATATCTCACCTTACCATTTCTAGTACTTCAATTTAGTGTGTTTATATTTTATACATGTATAAAATTGAACATCATCCACCAGAAGTATCAACAATTATGAGTTGAATATTACAAAATATGACCATATTAAGCAAAATTTAAAGGCCTACAATTAATTTTGTTGATAAACACGATACTTCTTCCATGAACTAACGGGTTATTACTAGTAATTGAACACACATATTGGTTTACAGCTACAGTATTAGTAAATCTGAAGGGTCTAGTCTGTATTAGACAATTACAAAAGGATAATCCATACATTTTAACATGCATTTTAACAGTAGAATAATCCAATTTTTGTTAACTCTAGAAATGTAATAGAAATGCCTGGGACTGGGACGGGCGATAGTTAGGTTAGAGCCTTTTTGATTTTTCTCTTCTTTACTTTTAAAGACGCATTCTGTATTAATTACGATTTACTGGATTTACCTAATATAGATTTTTTTATTAATTAGAACTGATATAGTTCAAATTATCAAAAAAAAATATTTTTTGGATATAGATTCCTGTATCCGGAAACTTACTATTATCTTCTAGATTTTCTACATTTAGTATTAATTTTAATTAAAATTTAATTTTTTTGAAGATCTTTAAAGTGAAAAGAAGAAGAATTTTAATTAACTAAAAAAATCAAAATAAAGTTAATTAACTTTGAGCAGAGTTCGACCTCGTCAAAAATAGCATCGATAGTCATTCCCCAGCCGCCTTTGACGCCGTTTTTTCTCGATCATACGGTATTATATTAAGTCAAATTAAACAGGAGATTTTCCGGTCACTAGAAAGTGTTCTTTAGTATGAAATATTTAAATAATAAACACAATTATTTAAAAATTGACGAAATTGAACTTCGAGGTTTTGACTTTGCAGTGACAATTTGGTATTTGAAAATTTTATTTTAAATTTATATTACACTAAAATTATGTTTTTTTTTTTCAATAAATAAATGTTATCTGAAGTTAGTGATAAATAATAATTTAACAAGTAATTAAAATTGACTTACCCATGAACCATTTGAGCACCGGCGGGGGGTTCCCGTAATGCGACACGCACTTGATAACGGCCACCTCGCCGTGCAGCGTTGTCAGGTTGTGTCCGGGCAAAACCTGGGTGCCGTTGAACTCTATCCTGGGCCTCTGGGGTGGCACTGCAAAACAAATCGTTTTATTAAAATTCCGGTGATAAATGGCGACCGGGCGGCTGAGAGCTTTTGTCCTAATGCACTAGGCCGGCAAATTTTGTGACCGCTGTCGCAGCGGAATATTATATATATTTTAGCGCGGTTCGCGGTTCGGTGTGCATTATTATCGTTTTTTATAGGGACAGAATTTTGGAAGCCGGGAGAATGGGATTTCGGACAAAAAGTCGGAATAAATAAATATTAATAAATAGATGAAATATATATTTTTGGAATGGAAAGGGACGTTTCCGGTATTGAATAAAACCGCATAGAACTATTATATAATAGAATTATTGGAGCACGGATGCAAAACAATATAAATAAAACAATATATAATATTTATGAATTATTGTTCACTTATACTATAGTCTAGGTACACGAGTTATCATAACTAATATGGTTATGAACCCCACTTTTTTAGTAATGCGAGAAAGTTACCATATACATATTTAGAAAACTAGCGTGTACCCGCGACTTCGTTCCCGTCGAATTAATCATTTGTAATGGTAAAGCAAAGCAAGAATTTTCATTAACATACAAACTGGATAAAATTTTCTCACATTTATGTCAGCATGAGAAAAAACAATATGGCGATATTATTATATAACATATTTGAGGGGTAGTTTCATCTTGTTGGAATTTGACTTTCGAAAAATCCGTTTGCCAAAAATAAGCTTTTTATGTCAAGCAGAATCGGGGTTACCTAAAACAAAGCAGAATCAATTACCCAACTTTATGGAACACCCTGTATGATTTTTTAAAAAATTTCAAAATATGTAAAAAAACAAAATAAATTATGCATGTCCAAGCGTTTTCCCGAAAGCACAACCGAAAAACTAACCGTTTTTTAAATAACAAATATTGAGGGGCGTTTTCACCATAACAATTTGAGGGGCGTTTCACCCTCCTGGAATTTGAGATTCGAGAAACCCCTCCTTATCGTACCTCTACTCCCCACAGTCAATCCGTTTGCCAAAAATCAGCCTTTTACGTCAGGCGATTTAAGCAGAAATCGATTTTTTTTTAATTTAAGCAGAAATCGAAGGATTTCCGAAAAATCCCTTCTTATCGAACCTTTACACCCTAAAATCAACCTGTATGCCAAAATTGAGCTTCTTACGTTGAGTGGTTTGAGCAGGGTCGTGATTAATCAGTGAGTCAGTCACTTAAGGATTTTATATATTAGTATAGATTATTTATCAATTTAGATATTAATAACTTTTTCAAATTAGTTTTTATTTTTGACACCCAATAAAATAATAAAAAAATGGGATTTCTTTTGTATTAAAAAAGTCTTGAAATACCCATTATTAACTCGCTATAAATGCATACCACATTTATTTCTTGTTTGACTTTATAGCTTTATTTCTTTATTATATATTTTTTTAAATTTTAATATGTAAAACAATTGGCAATATATTTTTGTTTTTAATTATGGATCTTTTATTTTCTTGTTTATTTACTTTTGTATATGTAAAATTTTGCCAAAGGACTTTTTAAAAGGCTTCATATGATTTACACGAAGGCCGAGTTATTTAATTTATACCGGGTGTTTCTCGAAAGTGTCTTACCTCTATAACTTTTTTATTTTATGTTCTTATATGACATAAGTCGAGATTCACTGACGTATTCGGTTAGTTTCTGTCACTTCCTGTTTCACCTGAAATGACTAAAATCTCTCATTTTTAAACGCAGAGACGTATTCAAAATAAGGATTGTTTTTTACCTTGACAGAAAATGACATTTTGAATAGAATGATAGATATATCACTCATATAATATCTTATATCATTTCTTTCACACTTTTGACATTTTCATTGAAAAAAATAGTATTTAAAATTCTTTATACACGGTGAGTCCTTAAATAATTACACGTATTTTCAGGGGTGGCATATTTCGACCCCGGGAACACGTCTATGAGGTTTTTTCGCAAAAAAAAGGATGTTGAAAATCCTTCATTTTCTTTTAAATTTTTCTGTATATTTTTCGAAAACTTTTTAGAACTGCCTGTTTTCCCAAGGTATAAATTTTTAATCACTGATATTGCCATAATTACAGCTTTACTCTAAGGTTACGGCACTAAAATGGATGCAAATACAGAAAAAATTCGGTGGCTCTCAAAATTTTTCCAAAAAATCATTTTTTTTTCAAATTTGCAAACTTAAATAACTCTGTTATTTTGGACTTATTTGAAAAATGGTAAAGAGAAAATATGTTTCTTTTATCGAGATCTACCAGCCTTGAAAATGTTTGCACTTATTCAAGACTCACCCTGTATTGTGCTAAAATCACTAATTTTTAATCAAGGAAACTTGGAAATTAGATTTGATCGTCTAATGTCCTCTAAGAAGCTCCAATCGTATTTTTTTCAGTAAAATTTAAAAATAAAGTTGTTGTTTTTCTATCTGAAATAACAAAAATGTCTTAGGAGTGAACTACTTTCGAGAAACACCCGGTATTACTTCTAATGGGATATTAAATGACTGCGCCATAATTACATTGATTACTTAATTATTTACTTATGCTATTTTTACAGTGCAAATGGCGAAATACCCATAGGACTTTTTTAAAGTAATACAATGACCATAAAAAGAATCATCAAAACAAATCTAAACTTTAAGAAAAAAATTACATAAAAAATATTATTTTAATCATCTAAATGGATAGAAGATGTTCTATGTTTTTTTTTTAAACAATTTGATTGACTTTGATTGACATGTTAAAGCAATATTTAAAGCGTTGAGTATATGGACTGAATTATGCTATATACATTAAACAAAATCGCATTTTAAAATTTTAATAGCATTCTATCATAGCAAATCCATTTTAAATACGAACCAGTCTCAATCAAAAGTCACTCTACCACAATTAAAACAAAGTTAAATGCATATCCGGTCGAACCACGTTTCAGTAATTTTGCTAATTTGTCCATCAACAACTCATTTTTCTAACTAATACGTCATCAGGCTTAATCGTTTCGAAATTTTTTATTAATGGCCGCAAATCATTGACAGACATTTTTCCCATAGAAATAATAAATAATAGTTAATAATTGGTAGATACTTGTTAACTATAATTTATATATTACTTAAATAAAAATTAAATAACATTATTAATTAAAAAACAAGATTTTATTTAAAAACTCTAAATAGAAGAAAAAATATTATAGAATTAAATACAAATAGATAAACAAGAAAACGATATGTAATTTAGCCGGCAAAATAAAACACTAATTTACCAAAACACTTACTTTTGTATAATGGATGCGAGTTTTGCTAACCATGTTTCTTAAAGGTACATAATTATAATTTTAGCAGATGTATAAAAAACATTTAATCACTAGATGATTAAAAAAAAGTATACAATTAATACTGTAAATTATATTTTATCCTCTCAGAGTATATGTCTAATTTTTAACGTCATTATGTAACGAGTGCTTTGTTTACTCACTTGTTTCGTCTAACTGCTTGAATCCATTTTTGTTTCTGATAAAATCGGTGTGAGAAACTATGGAGCTATAAAATTTTATTTCGGGAGAGTTGAATAACCGGGAAAGTTGAGTTATTGAATGCTATTGCACCCAACAACGCCCTAAATACGCTCTCCTTTGCGCGTTAATATTTTTTCGGCAATTTTATTAACATTTGAAATTGTCACAATATAACACGACGCGCGACGCCTAGGTCGGATTCTTTTTCACTTATTTTTTACTAAACGAAGCAGCGTTACATCACACACACACCTAGTACCTGAGTGTTGTATAGTTTCAATAACTGCACTAGCAAAGAACTAAAATACATAAATATTATGACAAAGCCACGATTTCAATATTATTTTAATGCGATCGACATGAACTGTAACCGGGACGGCGTGGAATAAATAGCAAAAATTTCTGATTTCTGCCGTACACAACGCTGCGGTTGGAATTTTTTGAAATCATCTGAAATGCACCAAGCCTATACCAAGACTTGCCAGCTCGGTATATGGTACGATACGTACCGGACAGTCTGAATAAGTTATTATTAAATCCACTAAATAATATTTTTAGGTATCAAAACTTTACGTTTCGGAAACGATACGTACGGTAATCGCAAAACATTTCCCGATGTACGTCATTAATCATATCGAAATAGACACACTAAAGCCTATAAACCTGACTAAATGAAATTTTGGCAAAAATGTTTAAATTTGTTGTATAATTTAAGATACCGAGCAGCTCTTCATTTTACTTGCAAAAATTAGTTTAAAGTGATTTTTATTATTGCCATGTTGGTCACATTGCGCTGGTGTTTAGGTGCTGTATACCTTTTAAACGAAGCAGTCTAAAACTTTGACGTTAAGTTAACTATAGATGGCAGATAATTTTAACATTTGATTTATTTTGACAGGCGCCTACTATGTTTCTAAATGCAAACATAAAAGGTAGCCCTTGTATTAAGTACTACTTCTCGTATACGCTTAAAATAAAAATATTATTAAATTTATGAGAGAAAACAGGGATTTTTTACAAAATGCTTAAAAAAATCATAACTGAAACAAATAAAAATCAAATCATATATATTGCCAAGAAATTCGTAATATTCTCAATTTGATTTATAAAAAAAACATAAGTTATCTCATCAATATACAGATCAAAAGTTACTTTTTGAACATTCAGCGACTGGGATAGCCAATGCGTAGTCCAGATTTTAGTGCATTTGAGTAGAGATTATTATAAGGAAAAAAAGCAGGTAAGTCAATTTCTCTCCAAACTTAGAAAAGCACGATTTAATGTTCAGTACCAGTAGGATGAACCATCCTTATTATCACTAACGCATAAAAAATAGATAACAACCTATTCTCAGAGGCTCTGGACATATGTACATAGGTATAATATTTCATCAAAACCGACCGATTTCGGAGTAGTATAGTCACTAAAACTGTGGCACGAGAATTTTATATATTAGATTTACAATCTATTATTTTGAC